CTCTCCCTGTTGAAAGATGTGATAGTGTATTCATGTGGCTGTGTTACTTATTATCTCCCAGTTCATGCTACTAAAAACAACAAAGGGGCCTTGGCTCATCGGCAGGAGTTGATGCATCGCATAGATAGTTTCACAAGTCTCACTCAGTAGTCCACATTGAACTTGATTACCAATTTTTCAAGAATTCTATTTCATATAATGGAAGAGGGATACTTCTGCTTCTGCACAAATGTTTTAACACATAATGTTTTAACAAATGTATAGACACATACTCCATTATGTTTTCCTTAATGTTTGGAGAGATGCTACTCATCAAAGTTACTGTCAAACAATATGAGATGTCAAAGTTACTATCTTAATGGTAGTTAAGACTTAAGATACTCTTCAATGTTCATAGTATTCAAACATCTAAGCATAATGAGAAGTGTTGCTCTTATTGGTAAAAAAAAGTATTACTAGATGTTAGCAATTTTTTGTCTAACTGTTTAGTAAATTTTATAATATACATAGTACTACATTTGAAATATATTTTAAGTTCACAATATATTTATAAACATTTTGGTCAGTTAGGAGTGATGGGGAGTCTTGTCTGGCCAAGCCAGTTTGAGGTTTTTTTGGATGGGATGTTTTGATTATTTTTTTGAGTATGTTCTTCATAAAGTATTAATTATTTCCACCAAATTTCAGTTTAATATTCAATCGGAAAGTCAGTTAAATAAATTATTCAAAATAGATGCGCTTTATATAAAAAATAATCATAAAAAAAACAAACCCGGAAATCCATCAAATGGGCTGGTTACAAGGGACTCCCCGTCAGTCTGGATTGACCGGATCAGTTCTCTATAGTTATATTCAATTTAATTTAACCACAAATAACCAAAGTAGCAAGCCAACTTGGGTGTGTGGAAGGAACATCTTACGCATTAGATATTCAAAACTTTGTTGAGTGGATTTTGAAGATTGGAGATGGGGTCCTGGGGGATGGTGATGATGGAGAGTAATGGTTGACATCCTTGAAGAATTTATTGCTCCTATGATGGATGATCCAATTGAAGCTATTGTTAAGATCACCTATCTCGAGTTTGAAATGCATGTAATGACATTTCTTTTTTGAATTTCAAGGAAATTCTTGCGCCAACCATTGATGAGCGCAACAAGATCAACAATTACATGTTGGGATTGACTCTGGGTGAGGTAAAGACATACTTAAGTTCAAATTCAACATCTTCTTTTGACTCAAAGAGTGCACTCCTTCAAGAGATCCGCTCTATATAATTTCCCAATATACCATTAAATGTTCTGGTGTGCCAAGCCATAAGCTCAAAGTGGGTGCACCTGTGATCCTAATGAGGAATATCGATCATTCCTCCGGATTGTGTAATGGCACTCGCCTTATCGTCACTAAATTCGGAACCCATATTCTTGAGGCTCAGATGATGTCTGAAACAAATGCAGGTCATAAATTTCTTATTCCGAAGCTTAGCTTGACTCCATCCGACATAAAGCTGCCGTTCACATTTCAACGTAGACAGTTCCCTTTGATGCTTAGTTATGTGATGACCGTTAATAAAAGTCATAGACAGTCTTTCGAGAGGGTTGATGTTTCCTTGCATCATTCGGTTTTCACTCATGGACAACATTATATCGCGTTCTCAAGAGTAGCGTCCCCGTCTGGGTTGAAATTTTTTATATATGATGATGACGGAAAACTGACCAAAAAAATTATAAATATTGTTTACAAGGAAATATATAATAATTTATATTTTCTTTTATATTCATTTATTTACTTTTGTTAGAAACAATATATACGTTGATCTATATTTATCACAACATTTCTATATATTCCCAAATAATTTATTGCTTATTAACCGCATCCCGTGCGAAGCACGGGTGAAAACCTAGTAATTGAATAATAAGCCTCCAGTAGAGAGTAAGACTTAAATAAACATACGAAAAGTAAGTAATAATACTCCACTGTAACTGTATCCTGTAAGACCATAATAGAGAATAAGCAAAGAAAGAATACTATAAAAGCCTTATTCTAGGAAGCCGTTATTACGGCCTAGAGATCAAAGAATGGGCGTATCTCTACAATAATGGTGAATATTGTTAGGGGTATAACGGTAATAGAAAAAGTGTTGGTGGTTCTTGATGCACAATGCTATTGTACATCATGTATACCTTCTTGTACTTTTAACTTCATTAAAGTTTCCGTTTTAACGGTACAGTGTTATGCATCCTTAATTCGTATTGTAGCTTTCAGTGACCCTTTACCTCTTCTGTTACTTTCCCTCTCATTTGTAGCATAGTGTATTTGGTCATACTACTGAAAAAGTTGAGCACCGCTTCTCTCCATGGATTGTGTTCCATTCTTAAATTCTTGATGGTTGGCGTTTTTTGTTTTTTGTTCTTCTTAGTTGTAATCCCTCTTTAAATCCAGGCTTGGATTTTAGTCTGGAAGGTTGGTTTATGCTAGAACGCAGAAAACGTCTTTTGAAAATCGCGAATTCACAGTTCACGATTCGCTGAAGGTTGGGTGATTGTTGATGTTTGAGTTCGATCTCTGGGTGTTTCTTAGTCGTTTTTCACCCCTAATTTCAATTCCGACACCAGACTTGCAATTAGAACGATGAAAAACATGAGTTACTTTTCCTATTAGGTCGATCCATAAAAAATTGTGAAGTAATGAAGATTTGAACTATTCTTCCTATCAGATTAACTCTTTTAGATGGAACCTTGTATCATAACAAAAGACTATCAATTTTTAAAAAATACTACTCTACATAGTTACTAAAAGTTACTAGTGACTCTCTAGACTCCATGAATATGTACTCTTACATTCGTTCTATCTTGTGATTGTTAAGTTCCGGCCACTCGGTATGCTCCCCTTGAATAATTGTGAAATAATAAGTGTTACATTGTTTTTTCTAATGATCATCTATACTAATTTGGATTAATGACCTAAATAGGAGTAAAAGGTAGTCAATAATCACAAATAGCACTACATTGTTTTTTAATTCAATAGTAAGACAAATCATGTATGCTTTGACAAATATACCCTCGTAGCTGTTGAAATGTTTTAATTCATATCAAAATCTTAACAAATAAAAAATAATAATAAAATATTGATATTTTTTTAAAGATAATTTTCTTTTTCAAAAAAAAAAAAACTAAAAAAACATAAAAAACAAATTCATTGCTGCCTCAGCCACCCCTAGCACCACCAACTCTGATCAACGAAAAAATGCTACATGCATTAGCAATGCCATATTAATGGGAGTTTCAATGAAAATTTTGACATTGAGTAACATGTCATTTCCTTGGCACTTTCTGAAATGACATTTTTTACAAATCATGACAAACTAATATTTTTTAAAAACAAAAATTAAAAAGTTTTTAAAAATAAATAAAAAACGTAAAAAACAAAATCACCGCCGCCTCTGCTGCCCCAACAACATAAACTCTGATCACCGGGAAAAAATGCAACATGCATTAGTAATGCCATACTAATGGCAGTCTCAATGAAATTTTTTGCATTGTCAGAGAGTAATATGCCATTTTCTTGGCATTTCAGAAAAAATTGCATTTCTTTTTACAAAAAATGGCATTTTTACACTGGTCGGTGGTGTTGGTGCAGGTGGTAGTAGGGGCGGTGGGAAAAGGATAAGTTTTTATGGATTTTTACCTTTTTTATCAATTTTTATTATGTTTCTACGTTTTTTTATTATTTTTTACGATTTTATTATGAATTAAAACATTTTATTATGACTCATAACTACCTTTTACTCCTTTTTAAAGGAGGTGTAAGAGTGGAATGAAAAAATACGTATGTTTCAAAATAGGAGTAATATGGTTTTATTTTGGATAAAAATATAAGAACATTTATTTTTGATTTTACACTAGTTTTACTCCAATTTGGGACAATTTATATAGTTACTTTAGTCAATACATCAAGAAGAGTAACTCTAACATTACTTTTTTTTATTATTACACAATTGAACGCGCAATTAAAAGTTAGATGTTTAACAAAAATGTGGACTAATATATATTCTTGATAAATTGAAAAACATGGTCACAAAACGAGCTTTTAGTATTACTAAAGAGGCTCTTATATTTCAATGGATCCGGCGTCTCTGCCTTGGTTAAGCAGCCAAGGAGGGTGCCTGGCTGTTTTCATCCATCAGATCAAAAAATGAAGGGTTGAAGATGAAGGACTCCATTTTTTGCACGAATCTCGAGACCTACTTTTCGATCTGTGCCGTCCATTTGAGTAAGGCACCTCTGCCTTAAGGCAGAGGATCCCAATCCTATTTCAATAGTGCAGTCTGCCTTTGGCCAGACTTAATGGATAAGCAAGGCGTAAAGCCCCTAAGCCTAGGCCCGTCTTTGACAATGAAAGAGAAGCGTTATAAAGTTTTTACATTTTCAATCCCATACCAGATCAGAATAGATCAGACCAAACTTGAATAGTTATAAACCACATAAAAACTAAACATGTAACCACACCAGTTCAGCCAGACCAAATCAGATAAAAAGACCAAACTAGAAAATTTGAGATTCACACCTAAAGAGAAGCGCTAAGATGTTTTCTTTTAGACTGTTTTCAGTTCTAGACCAAAACAGATAACACAAGACCAGATCATACTTCCGTAGTTATAAAATACACAGAGAGCTCGTTTGGTAGTTTACACGTTAAATCTTTGCACGCGAAGTGATTGTATGCAAATTATAGGGAATCAATCATTTTACATGTAAAATAGATTACATTGTTTGACTAGACATGTAATTTATTTTTCAATTGCATGCAAAGGCGTTGCAGTGGTTCATAGAACGCATGAAAATATTTTACCACCCTCCCCCACGTAAAATATTTGGTACATCGCGAACTGTTTTAAAAACATGTCTACAGTTTACATTAAATAATCAAACCAAACACTATAAACATTTTATGTCTTTATACTTTGCATGTAAAATAATTATTTTACATCCTAACAAACTAGACTAATTCAGACTACATCAGACCACGGTTACACACACCTAGGAGTCTAGGACATAAGCTCGAAGAAATTCAAGATGAGGGGGGTTCTTCTCCTAAGAGTAGCTCAAAAAGCTGTATCTTCTTCTGGTATTCAAAGTAACTTTCAGTCTTCGTCAAAGCGCTGCTGGTGTCTCTTCTCAAATCAACTCCACTCTCAGTATTTCATCTTCCTTCTGCCGTCTCGTCCTCCACCCCCTTTTTTTGTTGACTTTTTTGTTTAATCACTTCATCTATGTGTAGATATGATAATTTGATAGTTTCTGTGAATTATTATACGCATACCTATATGGTATTGAATTTTGTTTTGGCAGCGCACCTTCATCCTTCGGCATTGCATTTGACATCGATGGCGTCCTCCTCCGAGGAAGCATTCCGATTAGCGGTTCTTCTCATGCTCTCAGACGCCTCTACGACAATTTTGGTAATATTTTCTTTTAATCTCATATTCTATTTTTTTTATTCATTGAGAAAGGGAAGGGAGGGGCAGGGAAGGGATTAATCTCATTTTCTATACTCCTGTGTTTGCATAAAAACGTTTCACCAGGCTGATCCAGAAAAAGTTATTTGTCACAGTTTTTGTGTTAGTGTTTTTTTAATAGAATTCGGCTTAGTTTAATAACCAATAAACATTCAGACTATGGGTCAAAAGACAGAAAGAAATCTGACATCCGTTATCCCTTGAAGCAGACTCGGAATTTATCATCGTAACAAAGCCTGCCTCCTATCCGTTTTTTGCTCCATCCATAGCCATGTTGTCCTCCCCGAAATCCTTTGCTGACCCAGTCTCTCAAATCTTCCTCCTCTTAGAACCTTCTTCCTTTGCCTCCTCCCCTTCATGTGTGAAGCTTTGGGCTGACTCAGTTGCTGAAACTTTTTCCCTTACATCTATCTTTGATGCCCCCTTCTCCCCCTCCGGTTTGCCAGAACTCGATGAACCCTCTAAGCCCCAGTTTTGCCCTCCTGTCGGGCTTGTCTTCACCCAACCACCCGCTTTAAGATGGGATCCAAATCTTTTTTCTAAAACTAACCCCTCTTCTTAATTCAATGGACAAAAGCTATCCGAGTGTCCAATTAGGCCACAGATAAAGCAAAAATTGGGCAGTCTTTCATATTTAAAATCCACCCAAAAACTTTTACCCTCATATATGGCTCTATCTTTTCCTTCTTGTGACCATCCTCATATTTAATAAATTCCCCAATAAAATTACCAACCCTTCTGGCAGTACCCAGATTAACCAGACTATAGGGAACATTATGAATTTGTACCCAAAACTCAGCCTCATTTAATATTATTTTATGTGGAATATCATTAGGCATAAGTTCTTTTAACATAATCAGACTACGTTCAAACTGCCAAGGTCCCCCATCAAGAACACGCTGCATATCAAAACGATGGTTAAACGAAAAGAGATACCTTTTATCACTGATTTCCTTCACTGTCATGCCTTTCCCCGGCCGCCATAAGGAGGTCATCTTCTCCTTGAGATCTGAAAATCTGATCTTCCGATCAGTAAGTACTTGACCGATCACCGGGAATCCAATCGCCTCCTCCTCCTCCTCCCTCCTCCCTCCTCCTCCTCCTCCTCCTCCTCCCCCCCCCTCCCCCCTCCCTCCTCCTCGTCGTCGTCCTCCTCGTCACCCTCGCCCTCGCTGTCGCCTTCGTCTTCTTCTTCTTGAAATATTTAAAAAAATGAATTGTTGGTAATGGAAGTGTCACAAGGCAAGACACCACAAGAGACGGAGGAGGCATGGCACTACATCTGTAGCGGGAGACGTGAAGGGGTGAGGGTTTTATATTTTTATAAATAAAGAGAAGGGTAAAGGTTGTCCAACACCTCAAAACACCCCAATTTGGGATGTTAAAAAAATCATAGGTTTAGGTGTTGGTAAGGTTATAGTTAACACCTTATAAATACTTATTAAAACTTCCTTTTTCTCTGATTTCTCTCCCAACCAAGTGTTAACTGTTAAGGCCAACAATCTTTAACACTTCCATGACCAATACCTCTCGACACACCATAGTGTAAAAGTTCGATTGAATAACAAAAGCCAATTTCGGAAATGACTATAGTTGATAGCCTAAATAAGAGAATAAAATGGAAGACTAAGAAAAGTAAAATTGAAAATCATTTTAGAACAGATCAAGTACATATATTTAATATTTGCCTCTAGAACTGAATCACATTTTTTCCTTTTTCCAGTTAAAATATACAATAAAACTAGCTCAGTAGAACAAAGTTACTCCAGATTTGTAAACTAAATGTGTCTCTCTTATCCGGCTAGGTTGTATATGCCTAATTTTGTATGGTCTGATTAAGTCTGAGCTTGTGTTTCACTTTGTGATATTTCCCAAGTCTATTTACGTATTTAGAAGTGATAAATGTGATAATCCATGCGTTGCCATGACATGTGCAGGGACTATTAGAGTTCCTTTTGTTTTCCTGACAAATGGTGAGTGCTTCTCCTAAATCAATTCGTATAACTAATTCAATTTTCAAATAGTCATGCAGTAATGCCGATATCTTTGTGCAGTAGAATACAATGCACATGTGGTCTTTGATGGTCTCCTTTTTATGCAAAACCGGAACTTTATCACTTCCCCTTTCACCATGTGGATAATTTTATACACGATCTACCAAGAAATAAAAGTTAGCCTTCAATTGTTTTTGTCTGCAAAACAATTGAGCTCTATGGGTGATATTATTTTTAAGTATTGGCGGTATTGCCCTCATAGTACTTCTAGCTTATAGACATATAATCATTCACTCATTTTTCTCAAAGTAAGATATAATGATTAACTCTTTAATATTCTTTACTCCAGCCATTGCAATTTTAGTGTATAAAACAGCTCTAGTTTTTCCGGTCCAGAACTGAAGTTCTCTTTTCTCATCTGAGTCATCTCCCTTGTTGCCTCATACTTTCTGTCACTTGTGGATGCAAACATATTTATGTTCTTGTTGTGAACAGAAAAAATAAAATCAACGGGGTAAACCGTTGCCCGATAATCAACGGTAAAAATACCGTTGCCCAGAGCCAAAAGGCTAAAACCAATTTTATTCCAAGATGATCAAGAATGAAGCATACAAGGGGTATAAATAATCCTCTAGGTCTCTAGGTCTAATAAGAATAGGAATCCTAATTAAATCATAATAGGAAACTAAATAAAATAGAAAACCCCTAGTTCTAATAGAAGTCCTAATTAAATCATTCTAGGAAACTAAATAGAAATAGGAAACCTCTAATTCTAACGAGAATAGAAGTCCTAATTAAATTATACTTAGGAAACAAAATAAATTAGGAAACAAAATAAAAGGAATAATTAAAATTAATTAAATTGCCCATGAAGGTGGGCTAAAGCCCGTTCCCGCCTGGAGTAAACCAACAGCCCTCGGGTCTCGGACCCTCCTCTCTATCAGTTCTTCATGAATACTGAACCACTATTATATTTAGTTCTCGCTCTCTTATCCCATTAATATGGAGTGCACTGCTTTCAGATTTGTAACCTTCCATCTATTAGTTTTTAACTTGTCTTTCTGTTAGAGAGCACTTTCCCATTTCTTTATGGCCTTTTGGTTAAACATTTTTGGAGAGGGCTTTCGAGGGGATGGTTTTTAAAGACTTATTCTATATGGAATGTGTGTATATTATATATGTATATTATATGTGTATATATAGAGTTCAGATCATATCGGTTCGATTGACGGGATTCCCATTAGGCCAACTTCATTTTTGGCTAAAAAATAAGTCAATGATCCAATTTACTCACTAGTCCTAATATAATGTGTATGTGTATATATAATATTATACAAGACACAAGGTGAAGGGTTAACATATTATGTGATTGCATGACCTTTCAATATCATGTTGTTAGAAATGTTGAACTTTCCAAGATATATAGTAAGTCTTCCAAAAAACCCTGCCCTCCAAATCCTCCATCCAAGCAGAGCCTCAGAGAGAAATGACTTATTGTATTATACTATTATAGTTTATACACAAGGCCTTATTTGTCATCTCTAGTATTCAATAGGAGGTGGCGTTCCTGAATATGAAAGAGCAAGGGAGCTGACCAGTTTGCTGAGAATCAACATCCTCCCTTCACAGGTGTGATTGTTTGGACACCTTGTAACTGATTATTTGATCAGTCTTTCTACTCTTGCAATTTGTACTTTTAAGAAAATATATTTGACACAGATTAAATTCTCAAGTGTCCTTTTTATTTTTGCTACTCTCAACTTCAATATCGGTGCAGGTTCTACAAGGCCATACCCCGTTTAAACATTTGGTGAAAAGGTATGAGGTTATCTCCTGTTTCACCTTCAATCAATAAAGGATGACTGCCAACTAATTAGTAATTAATACTCCCTCCGTGCCTCCGTCCCACTTAAAGGTTCCCACACGGTTTATGATGTTTGATTGACCATAAAGTTAAGTGATCCCAGTCATTAATAAGATATTTTTTAGTAAAGAAAATTTACATATTCAGAAACTACATTAAAGGGTTTGTAAAGTCACAAAAAAACCAAATTTGATAAAAGTTGAATATATAAAAAATTAAGAATAATTTACGTTGATGGAGAATATTGGACGGGAACCTTAAAGTGGGACATAAGTTGTAATTAACATCTATGACTAAATTGTGTGACCTTCCTTGAAAATATGTGATACAGTAGTAGAATGCTCATGACAATATCAATGTTCTAGAAAAAAGAAGTCAAAGTTAAAATTGCGTGAATTGTGAGATTGGGATGGATTTGAGAAAGAAAAGTAGTCAGCTCAAATAGCGGTCAACTTAAATAATGATAGATCAACTTTACCTTATTAAAAATAATTTTATGTTTTGTAGAATATATCACCTTCAGTATCTCTATTGTAGATTTGAGAATGAATTCATTGTGGCTGTTGGGAAAGGTGAACCTGCTAAAGTAATGTCTGAATATGGTTTCAGGCAAGACTTTTTGGTTTCTATCCATCCTGTTTGTCATTTAACAAGTGTAAAACCCTTATGCTTAATCGTTTGCCATTGCATCACTTAACTCACATGCTTAACTTTAGAAATGTCCTCTCAATGGATGAGTATGCATCATTTTTTGAGAATATTGACCCATTGGCACAATACAAGGAGTTCGCTGACAAGCAGATTGTGAGTCATCAGAAAGTCACTTTGAGACAAGACCCTTGCTCAGAGAGGGTCCAAGCTGTCTTCATTGTTAGTGATTCAATTGATTGGTGCAGAGATATTCAGGTATTCCATTCATATTATATCTCATTTCATACAACTTCATTGTTCGGACATATTACCTCATGCATATATTACCAGAGAAATGATCCTGTCCAGCAGCCCCCGGTCCGAACACTGCCGTTTGGGGCGGTTCCTGATGGTTTTTTTTTTATGAAATTTTTTGAGCATGTTCCTCATCAAGTCTAGTTTATCTATACCAAATTTCAGCTCAAAATTCGATCAGGAAGGCAGTCAAATCATTTTTTGAAGTTGACTGCGCCAAAATATACATATAAAAACGCAGCCAACTTCAAAAAATGATTTGACTGCCTTCCTGATCGAATTTTGAGCTGAAATTTGGTATGGATAAACTAGACTTGATGAGGAACATGCTCAAAAAATTTCATCAAAAAATTCCACTGAGAACCGCCCCAAACAGCGGTGTTCGGACGGTGTTCGGACTGGGGGCTGCTGGACAAGATCATTTCTCTAAATTACCATATTTATATGTTACCTTGTATAGTTATTATTTTTGAAGTAAACATAGCATAAACAACCAAATGTCCTTATATGGTCGTAAGATAGTACACGGCCATATAATAGCTCAAATGGTGTTTTGCCATTATCTACCATGGAGGGTGTCCGATTACTCAAGTAACAGGCAATTAAAATATATTCCCCCAAAGTTGCGTACGGAGGCTGGGCCTGGCTGGCTTGAAATCATAAAGCACTTGCAACATTTAAAATGTGATGATGTTTTCGTTCTACACGCTCATTTTGTTGCGGAGTACCAACACAAGAAGTTTGAAACAAGATCCCATGTTTAAGAAAATAAGGCCATAACGGTGCAAATTTAGTACCATTATTTGTCGAACCACCACCTTGACATGTGTATGAAGCTGTTTTTTAACCATAAAAATAAAATGTTCCATAATAATAGTCATTTCTCATTTTTCTTCTATTAAATGAACTCAAACAACGCGAGAAAAATCATCCATAATAGTTAGAAAATAATAGGCATCACAAGTATTAGACTCTCGATAAAGGATCCGCACATCACAATGAATAAGATCAAAAATATGTGAAACACGGTGCAAACTAGGAAGAAGAAAACATCACATGTCTGTTTTGCACTTAGACAAACATCACAATTTTTATTCAAAGAACCACCAACAATTTTACTAAAACTAACTGGAAGCAGACGAACAATTCGGGAAGAAGGATGTCCCAACCTTTTGTGCCATAAATCCTTTGTGTTTACTCCCGTCACATCTGAAGTCTAGGCAAGTCCGACCCTACACAGAAAATGGACCCAACCACGATGTTCACTCATTTCAACCAGCATCTTCAAATTAAGGTCTTCTAACACACAAAATTTGTTAGTAAATATAACATGGCATGACAAAACATCAATGAGTCGTCCAATTGAGACTGAATGACACGATAAACTAGGCACATAAAGGACTCATTCAAGAATCAACCTGAGTCCTAGCCGAACCCGACTAATCTGTGTAGCTAATATAATGTTGCACACAATTCAATTAATACGTTCTTATTCCCAGTCAACCCATCATATCAACCCATCATATGATACGATGCTCCTATATCAAGTAACCAATTTATTTTTTCTGTACATGCTAGTTTTTCAACGGTATTGATTTGTCTTTTTCACAAAAGCCAAAATGAAGCCAACTGTTCAACAGTGAGAGCTGGAAAATGTTTGGAATCAGGCGCCTCACTAGATGCCCCGCCTTCATGTCCACCAATAGCATTAGGGTGAGCTCTAGATATAGTACAATCTTAAAATACGGTGAACAAGGATTAATCACCTTTTGCCGCCCATCATTCTGTCCAACAGCAAATTCAGCACTTAATGTCGTTGAAACATGGTCTGGTGAAGGGTTCGTCATGTCTTATTCATCGGGGAAAAATATATGAGAAACACACATACGTTATGTAGATGGCTCCGATACCATGATCAAATGTGCGCAACTTAGGAATTATACAAAGTAAAAGTAAATTATGCAGACTATTGGAAGAGAAAATCTGCACATGTAATATGAGTTTTCCATATTCTCATAATTTCCTTTCCATAGTACAAAGTAGGTACTAGAATATATACATAGTTGTGCTACTAAATAAGGAAACTAAGTGTTCCTAAGAATCGGAAATAATACAACAACAACAACATCCAAACCTTAATCCCAAAAGATTTTGGGGTCGGCTAACATGAATCAATCCATGATCTCGATGTAAAAAAAAAGACAAACAAGAAGAAAAAAAGGATAAAACAAATAAGATAAAGATAAATAATACTACGTATAAGATAACAATAACATAAAGATAAAAGATTAAAAGATAAAAGAGCGTAAAAAAGCTAGAAGATATAAATAACTATACAAGGTAATATATAAATATGGTAACTTATACGTAAGGTAATATGTCTGAACTTTCATAGATGCTATATTAACCTGTGATACTTTTCTTTAAACTTAGACACCAGTCACGGCATTCTTAGTGCTTTTATTTAAAATTCATGTAAACAACAAGAACTTGTAATACCCATTGTTAGCATGAAATGTAGTTTTGATCAATTTATGCCATTAATTGGCACAATAAGTTTAATGCCACCGACCCCACTTAGTTGGGATTAAGGCGCTAATAGTGATGATTCGCTACATGGTTTCTCATATAGGGAAATTGAAATCACAAGGCATGTACTCGAACTATTAATAGCTTAGCAATATTTTCTTAGTTGTTTTCCACTTTTCCTTTATTAATGCTTTCCTTCATTTATTTACTGTCTAGGCTGAATTGTTATATGTTGATTTCAGGTTCTTTGTGATATCTTAAGGACGGGAGGCCTACCAGGAAGAGAGGTTGCGCACCAGCCACCTATTTTTTTTGCAAACGATGACCTTGCTTATCAGGTTTGTCATGATATGTTAAAGCTAATTATAATGCATACATATATATATATATATGTGTGTGTGTGTGTGTGTGTGTGTGTGTGTGTGTGTGTGTGTATGTGTATGTGTATGCTTATCATTGAGACATGACTATTAATTCAACTGAGCTCATCTCATCGAGTGCTTTGACGACAGGCACTGTTTCCCTCCGAACGTCTTGGAATGGGTGCTTTCAGAGTTGCTCTAGAATCTATATATAATAGGTAAGGGTCCATGGCTTCCAAATGTTAGCTTCATTCTAGTTTGGGAAAATTGCATTTTTTCGTTAGTAAATTTAGTCCCAGGGAAGATTTCAGAATTGGTCCTGTATCTTAAAGGTACCAATAATGGACTTTTAAGGCTGTAACTAAAGCAATCATGATTTGATAGCTCATAGCACGTAATTCGTGACTTTTTGTTCGAGACTAAATATGCATTCTCCCCACTAGTCCCATGTTATTTTCACAAAGACTATCCTTCTACCCCTTGTTAGCTGTTAAGACCTTTTACCTTTTTTAATCCCTTAAACGGTGAACTAAACAATTTGAGATAAGTGAGAAACTAAAACCACAACCAAGGTGTGGGTATCATCTGGGGCTATTTAAGTAGACGTTAGTGAGGGACTAAAATTGTTATTATAAAGAAAGTATTGGATGGTTAGCATATGGTATGGTTTTTCTCACCATCATTGCTAAAATGTCCTAGGGATGTTTTTGTTAAGACTGGAATTTTCTGGTTTAACTTCGTCCGATCAGTCTAAGTCTGGTCTGAGTTGGTCTGATTTGGTCTGGTAGTGTATTTTACAACTGTCCAAGTTTGGTCTAGTTTAGTAGAGAAACCAGTCCAAGTAAAAACATCCTAAAACCCCACGGGATGCTCCATCTGGCCATGATCTATGATTGGTGAACAATGAGTAACATGATTTTGAAGAATTCAACTCACAATTTCTTTTCAATTATCTTCCACAGCATTCACCAAAAGCCTCTGGAATATACATCTTATGGGAAACCAAACCCTTTTGTATTCAAAAATGCTGAAGCAACATTGATGCAACTTCAGTTGCCTCATCAGGCTGCTACTGGTGGAATGCATTCTTTTAAAACCTTGTATATGGTTGGGGATAATCCATCTGTAGATATCAATGGAGCTCGGCAGGTTTGTTCCTTGAGTTTTGGAACCAACATGTTGGGTCGGTTTGGAACTCAAAATTTAGCTATTAGAGAAAGAAAAGGAAAAATCAGGGGAAATTGGAAAGGAAAATAATTTGGAGGAAAATAAAAAAATTACTCAAACCCAATAAATATCTTTTAGATATTCCTAAAACTCATTTTACTCGTTATTTAATTTATATTACTACTTCAAGGCAGTTTACTCTTAATGTGGTGAACATAAGTAATTTTTATTCTTTGGTTATGGGTATCGATTTTTTATTAAAATCAAATTTTGATTTTGTGATTCAGTAAAAAATTCGCTGCAGTTTGTAAATATCTAAATATTAAATACAAAAAACAATTTAGATATTGTCAAACAAGAATTAACTTTTAACCACCGTAAACTTAACCGGCATTGTTAAATGGGATGGAAGAAATGTGCAATAAACTAAGGAATTCAATTCTATTTATCTATGCAAAAAAAAAAAAATTAATATTTATACCCTCTATCAAAATAACTGTCTCATTTACTTTTTCACAGTTTAAGATATTTGTGGTAGACTTTACAAAAACTAAGAGATTTTTGGTACTGTAACATTGTTATATACTACGTACTTTATTAAAGTGTACTATAGCTGCATTTAGAGTAGATTTTTTTCCTAAAAGAGAATCGAGACAATTAATTTGATACAACCAGAAAAGAAATTCAGACAATTATTTTGATATGGAGGGAGTATCAGTTTTCATTTTCCTTTAAATTTTCAAGATAAAACCAAACGTAAGAAACTTATCTTTGATCCAAACAAACCTGCAATGAAGGCACATACATGAACTACTAAATCTAATACTTTTTTTCAGGCCGGCCCCCCTTGGTTCTCTATCTTGACAAGGACAGGCGTTTTCAAGGGACGTGTAAACGAGAGTGATTTTTCAGCAGATCTGGTAAGGGACAGGAGTTTTCCAGGCACATGTTAAGAGACATTACAACAAATATAACACCAAGACAACACCTTTTACATATTTTTCTAAAATACAAATTCCTCTTCAGCATTTTATCAAATAACTAGTCATTCAACTCATCTATTTTTCTCTACACCCTCGCCTCTTTTGAACCAAAGAAGGGGTAAGAGATGTGCCCCCTGGGATCTGGTTTCTAGAGAACAGCAGGGTCTTAAAGAAAGTTGTAATACTGCTGCTATCTATGCACACAGGTTGTTGACACCGTGGAAGATGCAGTGGAGTATATTTTGAGTAGGGAACGTTACTCTTCATGAGAAAAATTGGAGCAAGCTTTATTTAGTTAGAGGAACAAATACTTGTGAGAGAGCTAGCAAATTTGTTTCTGACGACTTGAATTAAGACTTCAGAGAATTGGGTATGGCATATTGGCATGGAGTGAGGACTGCTTTCTCTGTTTGATAACTACAAATAAGTACGGTGAATTATTCCTTCCTCTTTTGATGGATTAGTCTCTTGGACCCTTTCCTTCATAGCTCTCGGTCAAGCCTATGATTTCAACATAATTCCAATTCCATATCACCTTATTTGTCTCGTCTTTTATCCGCAATACTTCGTATAGTTTTGGTTTCCCAAATCCTAAATCTTTGATCTCCCATTCTTATTTTCTCGCACAATACTTCAACACATGTTGGCTTTTATATATTCACATACTATACCACCACGAGTCACGACTTGTGAATTGTGATTACATTTTATTTATTAATGTATCTCTAAATTATGTTTTGAAAAATAATCTATAGTTTGTCTCATTTTAAATTTGCAATATAAATTTTTTGTTATTTTTACTAATAATTAATTAGGTAATCTTTACTTTTTTTTATATATGTAAGTAATCTTTACATTATTGGTAAAATTTGTGTGTTGGCAAATACGTAAATATAAGTGTTGCAATTAAATAAGAAGAGAGTTTTTTTTTTGTTTTGAAAACAGAAGAGAGTATTCAGTAACAAAAAGATACTTGCTTAATTTTTTACGCAAAAAATATGTTCTAAAAATTACGTACTAGACATATAGGCTGGGTTAGTTACTTGGTTTCTGGCACCTAGAGTTAGTACTTGAGCGTTGCGTGGCTTGTATTCCCAAATTATGAGTAAAAATATAAAATAATTCAAATTGTGACTAATTTCGTTGTATATTATAGTCTTTGATGACGTAAAGTTGTGTAAATATAAATATAAGTGACACATTTGATCAGTTCACCTTGTAGATATGATTATTTATGTAAAAAATTTTAAAGGTAGTACTTAAAATACGTTAATTTTGTGTATTCATTATCTGATTTTTTTGAAGCACTTTATTTATAAATGTTCAATTAATTGGTCATACCTTATGTATTTTCTTTATATTGCTCATATCTTTATTGTTCAAAAGGATAACATGGATTTTCTCAATATCTGAGACATGAGGAGGAATCTAAGTGTTGGAGAAATATCACTCTCAAGTCTCTCATACACTCTCATTTATAAATGTTCAATTAATTGGTAATAAGTTGAGGAGGAATATCTACACTATAAAAAAACTAAGTGAGTTGGAGAAAAAGTATGATATATTAATCTTGAAGATATTAAGTTGTGTTATTCGTAAGAGAAAACAATGGAGTAGGAATTAATGTGGTGTGTGATTGTTATAAATGTGGTGGAAGTCTTTAGGAAGAATGATCTCATTATGAGCATTAAATTGGTGATAGTGGATGCGATTATGTCTGCTATAAGTGCTTATGCATCACAAGTGATGTATCTATCACTCAACAACTCTATGAAGATCTTAAGGAAGTGGTGTGGTGAGTGTTAAGAGCAAAGAAAGTGGCTCTAGGAGGCTATCTAACAAATATGTGGGCTCAAGTCGTGATGAATTTTTGAGTATTCATGGATGACATGGTTTTGGTACTAAAATGAATCGAGAAAGGACATTTTGGACTTTGTTTCAACATATGTGTTAACTATAATGAAAACTTGGTTCAAGGAAAGATACTCTCACCTTGTACCCTATAGAAATGTAGCCAATAGTGTTCAAATTGACTACATTTAGTATGAACTACTTAGAGAACTAATACATAAATTGTAAGATCGAATATCCTAAACGGAGTGTCGTCAATCATATAGGATGTTTGTAATTAAATTTCAAGGTAAGAAGCCTAGAAGGCGGCGGGTTAACCAATAAAGTTTTTCACACAAAATAATTGGGGAAGATGCATGATACATTGATAATGTTACACATATGAAGGATGTGTGGTTATCAATAGAGCATACGATTAATCAAGTGTCAAAAGAGATACTTTAAAAATCTAAAGAATGCTTGCCACCAATAAAGGACACACGCTGTCGGAACAAGGTAAAATAAGACAAAATAAACAAAAGGGAATATTACAAAATTTGGAATTATGAGAACATAGAAAAGTACAACAAGACTAAAAGAATAGCTAAGTGAGTTCGGGATGGACTAATACGGGTCGGCCCGAACCGGGGGTAAAATGGGGCGGGCTGCTGAAATGGTGGACCGGTCCGGGCCCTTTTTCCATTGATTGGCTGCTAGGTGGATCGGGCTGGGTAGTTTGGGGGGTGGGGGTGGGGTAGGAATAAATTCAAAAAGCCATTTAGAAAAAACAAATTATGACCAACCCGGCCCGGTCCCGGTACAAACCCGGGCCGGTACTGGGCCTGCAACCCAAAACCTGTCCCGCCCAATCCCGTCCCGGGTCCCATCCCGTCCCGGGTCCGGTCCACCCCTTAAGTGAGTCGTGAAGGAAGCATGAAGAAAGTGAACAGAGAGTTGTATGTAAATTTGACCATGAAGAAGGAAAAATATATACTTCGTATATGGACTTGCTCGCCTTTGTGATCGTAAGATTAGCCTTAAGATATAAAAAAAATTAAGTATATCATCAAAGGGTAATGGAGAATGAGGATATAAAAGAGAGGCGAAGGTTGTATTTATACGTGTGGATTGATATCATTTTATCCCTTTTACCCATTTTTCTTTTTTCTTTCTTATCTTCTCGATCTCCTTGTGTTTTTATCTCATCTCTTTTATCTTATCCTTAGCCAATGTTTTATTTATATCTTTTTTATCTTATATTTTTTTAAATCATTTTTTAGCTCTTATGTCATATGTCAATTCATTATTGTTATTAAAACTATTATTATTAGGATTACTACTAAATTTACATAATAATAATTTTTATTACTACTTTACAATTTTTCTATAAACAATTGAAATCCAAGCTCTGAGGTGGATTATTGGTGGAAAAGTTCTATTACATATATGCTCGTACCACATGTAACATTGAGTGTAACAATTGTGTAGTGATTATCGTCCTTATTTGAGTAATGTAGTATGACAATGGATCAATACGAGACAGTGTTTGTGATTTGTCTTCCCAATTTTGAATTTCTAATGAAAATAAACCTGAATGCTTAAACCTGATTTATCCTTGTAGAACTTCCGCATTACTAGTTGAATTACAATTGTTTCATTTGATTTTTAACCGTTTCTTATCATTTTATGTAATTATTTAATTGAACTCTTATGATGTTTAAACTTGAACTCTTATTATTTAATTGAACTCTTATGAATGTTACTAGTAGTTGATATAGTTCTTGTTTAAACTTGTGTTTTTCGTGAAATTGATAAATATGTACTACGTATCATTTATATGAAATCCCTATATCTATGAGATCATCGTATTTATTAAGAGAAATTCATCACAACCCATATATAATACAGCTCTCTTGGACCATACATTCTCACACTAAAGTCCCATATGCACGCGGGGATGGAAAAAGAAAGGATTTGATTGATGATTGAGAAGCAATATAAATGAAACCTGAACAAGCTAGTTTTAAAATTTGTACGCTCCTTTGATTTGAACACTTAACTTGATAAATGAAAGTAACGTTTAAACTAAATTAGTGTGTATGAGGTTTCATGGATTTTACATATGTTACGTACTGAGATCAAGTGAGCTAGCACGTACTCAACAAGGCAAACCTTCACCCTCAGCCGTTTCACAAGCAACGAACAGTTATTCAGTATCGATGTGCATAGCTGGCATTGTAGTTGTACCTTGACCGGATGTTGTAAGCAGCTGGGTCAGCGAAATCGACCGCCTTAAGCACCATCGCCTCACGACGCCCATCCTGCTCTTGGACAGCTCCGAACACAATCTCTTTCTTCTCACAGCTTTGTTCAACGTAAGTTTGAGGGCTAGGGGCCTGATGCTTTTGATGATGCTGCAGTTGGTGACAATATTGCTCTGGATGTGGATGTTGTTGAATATCACCGGTCCATCCTCCGTAGGTGTTGGAACGGCTCTGCTTGAAATGCCTAGCCCTCTCAACGTCCTTCGAAACATGAGAATACACTTTTCTTGGTGTGGGGTCTCTGGGTTCCAAGGCTGGTGGGGGCTCGTCTTCTCGTGGAATTACGTAACTTTCCTGCACAGACCGAGCAATCTGTTGCTTGTAAGGGTAAGGGTAATGCTGGAGGTGGTGATGTTGTTGGGGATAAGACTTTTTGGATCTAGAGAACAGTCCTCCAAAGATTTCAAAAATGGATGAGCTTGTGTTAATGAATAGTCTCCCTATTGAAACTAATAGATTTTCGTCTTGTTTTTCATATTCATCATCCTCTGGTGGGGGAATCAAGGGAGGCCTGATCGGCTTAGTGTCCAACTGATATTGCGACGGTGGTGTGCCCCTTATAGCAGGAGTCCGAGGATCCTATAAGCAATGATAAAGTTCCATAAATAAGACTAATAACACATCACATTTCTTTAAATGCGCCCATCATTTTTTCTTTTGTAAATGTGACTCATTTACTGTATTTTTTTTTATTACTTTTGACTACTTTTTGTTTTAGAACTGAACAAGTCCTTTTTGTATTTTACTTGTATTTGTAGCAACATCCTTAAAGGCTAAAGGGACTAAAAAAGTTACACACCCTGTGAAAAATATCATTACATTCTGTACATTTTACTACTTCAAAGTTATCTATCCATTGATGTAATGAATTAATGATATTTCACAATACTTGTGTAACACATGTGGTTGCCATTTTCATAATACTTACTCTGTCGGACGAAAACATGGCTCCAATTCTACGCTGTAACAATGCAAGCATGTAACCGAAAAACATAGCTGCAAAAAGTAGTGCCGTGCCTGCAATAATGAAGTAGTAGAGTTGATACCAAATATGTGTTTAATCTGCAAAACATCGTGTGAGTGCAGAAACTGTGATCCTGTTTGGATTTCGTCCAGGACTGCTGAAAAGCACTTTTACAAGTAAAAGTCATCTTTGGGTGACTTTCAAAATGCTTTTCAATGAAATTGAAAAAAACACTAACAATTTCTTTCTGAGGAAGTGTTTGTTCATTAAAGGTCTGTTAGGTTAGCATTTCTTGATTAAAGTTATTGATTTGGATTTCTACCTAGATGTTGGAGATTGGTATCATCCTCATGATCCTCGTGATAAGTGGAACAATCATCCTCATGGAGCTGAATCTCTCTAATTGCCTGGTTCCCTCTGTCTATGACCAAGAGCGAACAGCTGCTTGCAACATAAACCAAATCAAAGTCATTTGAGAACTTTGCATCTTCACTTGGCCCATCAATATGGGCCCCTCCCCGCACCCACTTCCCACCCCCTGCAATTGTCACCACTCCTATATACAAGAAAATGCACTATGAGTTCTTTGTAAATAAAAAGCATATTGGAATAAAAAAAACAATCTGTTGTATCTAGCTAGCCTAGC